ATTTACTCATACCACAGTTCCCTTCCCTTCCCTTCCCTTCCCTTCCCTTCCCTTCCCTTCCCTTCCCTTCCCTATCCCCATCCCCTTCCCCTTCCCCTTTCCTTTCCCCTTCCCCTTCCCTTTCCCCTTCCCCTTCTGCTTCCCCTCTCCTCCCCTGAGCACATCTGAATGCTGCAGTGCTTTTATGAAGTTGGCTGTGCTTGTTCTTCACATGCAATGGTGTAAAACAAAGCAAGTTCTCCTGAGCACATTGGGATTTGCCTTGATTCCTCACAATATCACAGCTATCTGCTGTGAATTCAAAATCTTCCTGAGTTTCCACATGTGCTTCACACAAGTGTACCTATAACATGTGGTAAAGGCAGTGGAGTGAGGCCCCCCTGTATATAATGTTTTCTGGCAACAGAAATAAGATCAGGTACAGCCTCTGGGAAGTGATCAGTTCATTTAAAGCTGTAGCTTGAGGGGATGATTCTAATAGACTGCTGCTGATGCTACGGACTTCATGTCTTTCCCACTTTCCCTACAGCTCTAAAAACCAGTAAGTTGAACATGGCTTTATCTTGATTTCTCTGGAGGCGGTGCAGCACTAACGAGCTGTAAATGAATCTTAACAGATTGCTGTCTGCAGAATTGTTTCGTGTAAGGGAAAACCGGTGAAATTAAGCAGTACGAAAGATATTAATGAGTAGAGATAAAGAATAAATTGGATTAAAATAAATTTAATATTTGCTTTTGACTTCTTCCTACTCTGATTTTGAGCATGTCTCCTGTCCTGTTGTGGTACTGTACAAGACAGCAGATCAGGTACTGAGAAACAGGCTGGTGGATGTTCAAATGTGCTCCAGATCTCTGCCTGCTTTCAGTCAAGCTCTCGGAACAGGTGGCTTGAAGACCGGTGTGTCAGTGTGACACTCATCCAGGGAGATGCTTGAATCCCAAGCTGCTTCAGACTGGGGAAAAAGATCTTTGCTTTGATGAGGAAATTGTCAAAATTCATGTTTCATTAGTGTTTCCTAAGGTTCTTTGGAAGTGAACAACACTTTAATTAAAGGCTGACGTAAACACGTTTCTACACAGTCTTTCTCTGCAGCGCTTTATCACATTAAAATTGATCAAAATTGTTGCCTTGGGCTGTCTTCAACAGATATACATCTGGAACACCATTTGTGCAAGCTGCTGATGAGCAGGCAGCACACGCTGTGCTTCATAGCACAGTTCTGCTGCCTTCCTATGTAGACAGATTCACCTGGCTGGGAGATGAGATCCAAGTCTTTTCTATTTGATTAATCCCTTTGTTCTTTGATGTGATGTGTTAAAAATTATAACATGCCCCTGTTTGGGTGCATAATTACTTCATCATCACAGTAGTATAGGAGTACAAGCAAGAAAGATTGGGAATAGGACTGAGACTTTAAAAAAAAATCCATTTTTCACATTTGAAGAAAGTTTGAGGCAGGACAGGACACAGTGTGTTCTGATTAATGTTGACCTTTTGATAATTTTGTCCAAGTGTTTTTGGCATCTTTCTGCTCTTCATATATACTTAGCATTTTTCCAGAAGTCTAAAAATAAATCATACTGGAAACTGTTTTATTTTCATTCCTCATGTAATAAGGATTGGAATTTCATTCCTGAAACTCTGACACAGACTTAAGAGCAAGCAACCTATTCCTGTGACCTCTGCTGGTCACTCATTATGCAGTTATCAGTATGTAACTAAGCTGTGTGTGGCAACTAGACTACATCTCATGACGTGAAAAAAAATCAAATATGTTTCAAAATGAGAAAAATGTGTGTTTTCCACTGTGTAGAAGTTACTGGAAGAATCACTTTGAGTCTCTTTGTTGCTTTACTCACTCTCTTTATTTAAGACACCGCAAAACTAAAGACAGTGAACAACTGTTTTGCCCTTTTTCAGCCTCTCTTCATTTTTGTAACTGGTTACTCTTCAGAGAACTGTAAGCAGTATCCTTCCTTATAACAGATATGAGCCTCCTCACCTGCTCAAGGAGGACGTGGCTGAAGCTTTTTTCCTTACATAGACTGTTATTGTTCCAACTCCCTTGTCAGCTTCATCAATTCCTTGGCAGTGAGAGGCCCATGAATGCTGCATTAAGATGTCAGTGTATGCAGGATGCCAGGGAAGTGGCTATCTGAATCACATTGCCATTCCAATGCCAAGTGCATGATTTTAATGGCAAGGCTGCCACATGTGCTCTAGCCATTATTCTCTGCAGTTGCTTCTGCTGTGTACGAGACTTCTGAAGGTACTTTGTGGTGGTGTGCCACACAGTGTATTTGAAGTCCCTGTTTTGGCTGCTCATTAGTATTTTTTTGGCAGTGCTGACTTTTCTGCTAATGACTACCAGTGGCATTCACCTTAGTGAGGAAATAGTCTTCTGCATGAGAATTTCATTGCATTTGCTTTGCAGTTTACTCTGTCTGTCTTCTATGTGCTGACTACAATTCTCTTCTCCACAAATAGGAGCAGAAGAAAATGACATGTTTTTAAAGGAACTGCGAGCTTTATCTTAGTCACCAATTTCCTTTTCAGAATATTCTTTTCACATTAGTGATGCCTCTGGGGGGTTAATGGATATTCTAATTACGTTGCACTTCATGTAGCATTCTTCTTCTGAGAAACTAAAATATTTTGGTTTCGAAAAACACAACAACTTTTGCTTGTTTAATGAAGTAACAGCCACACACCAAATTAAATCTCTGCTGCATTCCAGCAATCAGAGATGCTGACATGTGCAGACCTTCAGGAGCTAGGCAGCTCCTTCTTTCATGAATTCTTTTGCTGAATATGGGCTTCACATAAGGAAGAGATTTTCCACTTCCAACACATATTTTTTTTCTTCCTTTGGGAAATTCAACTGCAGTACTTTTAAATTGAAGAAAAATCCAACTTTTTTGTACATTCTCTTATTTGCAATGGACTATATGTGGTTTAACCAGAAAGATACGTGATTACCAATACCTTCTGTAACAACTGTTGAACAGAAAGCCCAAAAGGTGTTAGAAACACTTCTCTTTTTCTCAGACTTTGCAGTGTTTCTGCAGTGGCAGAGTGTTCATACCATGAACCAGAGTACAAAAAGACAAAATATTTGGTGGATTCTGTATCATGACTCTTTCTGCTCTTGACATGACAAGACCTCATTTCTGTTGCGAAGGTGTGGAACTAGGAGCTTATATTAAGAAGCTAGGGCTGTCATTCAAGCAAAAAATAAAAACATAGTGAAATGTTTCAAATTAATTCCAGAATTAATGTGCTTTTTTGTTGTGTTGGCTGCTTATGCAAAAATTAGTTTAAGAAAATTGTCTTTCAGCTTTAGAAAGGATTTTCTAGCTTAGTGGAATAAATATTCATCCAAACTGCAACCATTTGGAAGTTATGATCTTTGCTGGCTGCTGATGGATTCAAAGAAACAAAAATATTCTTCCATTTTCTTTCTCAACAATAATTTATTCACAAAATTTTTATCAGACAGCTGGAGGTGCCTCTGTTAGCACTCAGCATTTATGATAACAACAGAAAGTTGCAACAGATCAGTATAATAAAAAACATACGGCAGCCTTTGTCATATCTGTTAAAATGGAAAGAGAGCTGAATTGCTTTGTTGTAAAGCAATTCCTCGCTCTTGTTGAACACTTCCCTGAACAAAATCCTTTCTCAGCAGCCTTTCTGAAGGGGTCAATTGGTAAGGTGTCTGGGACATCAACAGATGCACCAGCTATGGGCAAAGGGCAGAAGAGGTGTTGCGGGAGTGGTGGAGGAGCACTTGTAGGATCTGCCCTGCCTGGCAGCAGTGCCTCTGTCGAGTTCAGCCATGCTTGCAGGGCAGATGGGCAGCACAGTCTCAGTCTAAGAGAAAGACTTTCAGGGCCAAACCTCTCACTTAAACTCCAGTCAGTTCAGAAAGTTTTGGTCTGATTTGGTCTCAGTAGGGCGTTCCCACTTACAGAGATCTTCCAAGAAGATTTTGTGTTCCTCAGAATAGCACAGTACAGTGCACTAATATTAGAAGTGCCAAAATCACTTTAGGGATGAACACGGTCCATGTAGGAAAGTCAGCTGCATCATGGCCCCAATCCAGTAAAGTACTTAAGAAATGAGCTTCACTTTAAACATGAGTTATTCCCGTTGATTTGAAATGGAACACACTTACAATGCTGATGTGTGTCCTATAAAAATATTAAAATTAACTTCGAAATAATTTAATTTGATTCGAAGCGCAATTAATTAATTTAAACTTTTGGAAAGAATTCGGTGTTTTTGCTTGGGGCAACATCAGCAACCCTGTATGGTAGAAATCATTTGCTTTTCCCTGCTACTGCAGCCAACAACCTTCATGTAGCAAGTCCTGTTGATACGGAAACTGAGAGGAAGTGGGAAGGCCCTACTTGACACATGGAAAATATGAAAGAGAAGAGTTAAAGCATCCTTTATTCTTAGGAAGGTTACATTGTTTCAGTATGGTTTTGAAAAGGGTAAGGGAAGGGTTTTGAAATAACAAAATAATAAATACCATAAAATGGCATGTACATGGCAGTTACCCTACACACCTGAGTGTAGGTGTTCCATTAAAAAATGCAATAACTGTTATGTGGCTGTTGAAGGAGGAGATGATTTGGTGATGTTGTGGGGAGCTGAGAAGTATCTAGGGAGGTTCTGAAGACATGCATTTCTTTGCTGTTTGGCTTCTCTGGTATGAAAGGAATGTAGTTTCTGTTTCGGAGGACAAAGACTAGCCAGTGGATTATTATTCATTCTCAAGTTGGAAAGTGATAGTTTAAAATTAGTTTATTGCTCATAGGGGAGTTGGGTCACCAAACAATATTTGTGCAAGAACTGCAAAAATAAACACTTACAGTTTACAAAATCATGTGCCCTGTGATGGACTTTTAAGCTAATGTCATTGCTCTGATTAATTTTACTTTTAAGCTAATGTCATTGCTCTAATTAATTTTACTTTATCTTCTTATTGCAGATATGTCTTCTCCTACAATGAAGAAACCTGAAAAGCCTTTGTTTAGTCCTACTTCTCCCCAGGATTCTTCACCAAGACTGAGCACTTTTCCCCAGCATCACCACCCAGGAATCCCAGGAGTTGCACAGAGTGGTGAGGACTACAGAGGTGGAAGAAATTCCTCCCTATTTGTCTTCTGATCTTTCCTACTTTGTGATAATGATGCATTTTACAGAATTATGTAGACACCTAATGCCATTTATATTACTGTGGGGACAGGAACAGAACTGAGTATGTTGCAGAGGTTGTGGTAACCTTGCAGAGACTTGCGGTAGTTCAGGTAGTATGGAAAGAATTTAGGATTAGGTCTAATAAAGAAAGTAACAGAGGAAAAATTCTCTCTGTTTTTCCTCCTTCTACTTTTATCATTATTATTATTATTATTATTGTAATTATTATTATTATTATTTCTGTGAGTGTATTGCATTTAGATACCAGAATAGGTAGGATTGCATACAAAAGAGAATTCACCATTATATTCATTACATGAAATAACTGCCATGCTTCTTTTGAATTCTCTGTGATAAATGATTATCAGCTTTTTTTTTTTTTTTTTTTTTTTTTTGAGTTCCATAGTAAATCCACACTAGAACTTCATTTGAAGTGTGAAGGAACTATAAGGGTGATTTTTGGGAAGGGAAATCACTGTATGTTATATTGTGGTCCTAATAGGAAAGACAGGGAAATTCCATCACCAGGGTCTATTTCAGTTGAGAGCTGAGAGTTACTCTGATTCTCCAGATGAGAACACAGTACACAGAAGTCTTCCCTCAGTGACTCATCACCTCTCCTTATACACTGCATAGAAAGGGTTTAATTTCTTGAGCAAAGCTGGATGTTTTGAAGAGTGAAGCAAATCTGAGCACACCCTTTTTTTTAACATGCAGTTCTACTTTGAGAAGTTTCTCTTTTGTGATTTCCCTATGATGTGGAGGTTTTATCCTTCATCTTACATGCAAGAACTACATTCCCCTTAACATCTTCTTACTGTATTGTGAAAGGAAGCCTGAACTCATTCTGGTCTTTGTGGATTTCCACCGTACTCAGTCACAATGGAGATGGAATGGATGTTTTCCTACTCACTTGAGTTTGTTTTGCAGAGTTCCCATGACAGAGCAGTAAATAATGTTTTATAAGTTAACTGAGTTGGTGGAGCAGTGATTAAAAGAAATCATTCTCAGAAGTTTCTGTAATTATTTTTGACCCCACACTTATGTGTTGACACATTTGCTTTTAGTGTATAATTTTTAGGTGTATGTGTTTGAATAACAAGATATAATTGTAACCTAATTCCATAGTTCAGCTATTTACTCACTGGAAGATCTGATTGCTATCTGTACAGCATATTCTTTTTTGTCAGTGAGCAATGTTTTGGGGATTTGCAAGGTTTTGATTACAAAGTACAGCAATTTTGGAACATTTCTAGCAAGGGCAAACTTCCATTTGGTCTCAGCTCAAAAATAGAAATCCACTTAAAAATTAAGCTGGAAAAAAACAAAGATATCGCAGATAGCCCAGTAGAGCACTGTTGGTGTGCTTGTGCTGATATAGTACAGAAATGGGATGTGATGATACTCGTGAACAGTTCGCAAAATACCGTGCTTACACAGATCAGATTTTGCACCATCCCATTAAGGAAAATGAGCTCAGCACTGTCTTTTCTTTACTTTTTCTGAAATCAGCACCTCCTTTAAACAAGCCACATGTAGGTGCCCACCAGCTGTGTAGCGAGGGGCAAGGTGGGTGTCTGTGCAGCCCGGGAGAGGAACGTTCTCCACTTCCAGCCGGATGAGGCAGGCATGGCAGGACATACTGTACATTCCTTTCACTATGAAAACACTGCTGGTTGTTTAGACGTGACATATAGTCTATAGATAGAGAAGTATGTGTTTGTAAGGGCTGGGAAGAAAGGGAATGTAAAGCGAAACATGTACAGTGTAGAACCCTTTTTTTTTTTGCCAGAGATATTTTTATAGTATGGACTGGTTTCCCAGGCCCTGAAGTTGAATGTTCATTAGCATTTTCAAAAAGGTCAGCTAATTATTCATGGCTTTATTACTGAATAGTTATTACCCATCCCCACATGAAGCAGGTAGAGTGCGATACAGTGATGAATCACTGTTTTCTTAAGACATGGTGGCTGTGTTCTCATCTGTTGAAATGATGTGAATGAAAGTGTAGGTTTTATCTATTTAGTAAAATATTTATTCTGTTTATTTAGGCTACAAATTGGAAAATTTTATATTGAAGTGTTTTATGGTAAAGAATAATTACTGCCTGAAGAAAAATAATTTAAAAAAAAATGAAGGCATAACCCACAAAATCAAAACAAGTTATTCTATTTATGAATTCAAAAGAGAAGTGCTTTCCATTGCCTGGAATGGTGTGAAGGAAGGACACGAAAGACTTCTGTAAGAATACCATGAAACAAGAATACAATGTGCAGGTTTATAACTGACTTCTTAATTTTCTTGTTGTAACACAGAGATGAAGAATTTTAGAAGAAACAACATGCAAATTAATTTTAATTTTATTTTATCTTCTCCAGTCATCTCAACTAGAACTCCACCTTCACCTTCACCATTGCCATTTCCAGCACAAGCTATTCTCCCTCCTGCCCCGTCTAGTTACTTCTCTCATCCAACGATCAGATATCCTCCCCACCTGAATCCTCAGGATACTCTGAAGAATTATGTACCTTCTTACGACCCGTCCAGTCCGCAGACTAGCCAGGTACTGTAAAACCATGCGAACCCTCCAAAAGCAATCCAGTGAGGAATGTGTATCTCTTCCAAGATGTTTATACTGATATCTCACTAGTTCTACTCTCAGAGAAAGCTGGGAGCTGGAGCACTTTTCCTTTTTGACTTGATTGAATAAAAGGAGTAAGGTAGTCATATTAACTCACTGTTGCTCTGCCAAGCAAAAGAGAAATGCTTGCACTCAGAGCTTTGCCAGTGCCAACACCACCAATCCCCATCCCACATCCCTCCTGCAGGCTGGGTGCTGCTGTGGCCTGAGTGTCAGGACAGAAGTGAAGCTCCTGCTGCAGGATGGAGCCAGGCATCTGCTTATACATGCGCACACATTTACACACATGCACAAACATACAAGTGTATTTACAGACCAGCAAATAAAATAAAGTCCGGCAAGGTAATGCTTGCACTGTTTCATAGACACCTGACATTGCACAGATGTAAAGACATTTAGTGAGCACAGTGCAGATTCTTGGACTTGTTTTTCCTTCCTTCTGTAGGGAACATGCAGCAACGGAAGAGTTTCTGACTGCTACACTCATTTAGGCTTGTCTCTGATATTGGGAATTAATGTGGTTTTCATTAGAAAAGTAATTTGTACAGGACTGTGTGCAAAACTGCTTTCCATGATAGCATCAGCACACAGCATTAACATGCGATCTGCACTATGGGATAAAGTGCAGCCGAGTCTTGATCTGTCAATGCTTGGAGTATTTCCAGTGTCAATGTAATGTAATCTTTGCAGCTTGGGCTGGTATCTGGTTTGATGTTTTGTCTGAAATGTTCCTGTGGAGTCCTGTAGCTTGTGCACTAGCATGTGTTTGGGAGAGCCTTGGGAATGCGCTGAAGTGGCAGCAGGCAGGTTTTCCTGCTCCTAAGAATTAGGTTCCTTTGGAAGAGTTGTCTTATGAGGGTGAGGAGATTGTTGTGTTGATGGGTTTTTTCCCCACAGATAATGACAGACCTTTCAGTACGTGTTTCAGGCACAAGAGCAGTAGAACTTGAGACTGAATCAAAGTTTCTATGTTGAATAACAAATAAGGCCTCTCTGGGCTGTTCAGAAGGTCACTGTGGCTATTGTGCCCATGGGCAAATGCTCCAACCCAGCTGCATGAAATTTTATGTATTAAAAAAACAGCAAAAACAAACAACAACAACAACAAAAACACTGGGTTCATAAAACCAAAACTTACTTTGATGGAAAGTCTCAACAAAGTGATTTTTGTTGGTTACAGTATTAATGCAAATTAAACCAAAAAGTGAAAACGGAGTATGTCGGCTTTAGAATACAAATTGCTAACTGTGCATGAATTGAAAGTCTTTCAGTCCTATAGCATTTTTGCTGAGACTCAGCTGGGAACATTGCACGCAGGACCTGATTTCAATTTGTGTAAAATTTCCATGAATAACAAAGTCTAATTAAGACATTCATTAAAAGTCCTTAATGTTAATTCAGTGCGGAAAATCTTAAGAGTTCTATTGGATTTATTTTTTTAAATTGATGTCTTAATTAGGCACTATTATGGAAAAAATTATGCAAATTAAAATCAGGCCCTTAGTGTTATGTGTTTCTTTAATTATTCAGTGCTTGTTTTACTTACATTTTCATTTCTTATATATATTAAAAGAGCAGATTAGTTGATAATCTCAGATTGTTCAGTGTTCTGGTTTGGATCATCGCTGAAAAAGCAAATAACTAAAAGAAGTATGTGACTTTCAGTCAATAGACAAATGTATCATCTTTTGATTTTGATATTGGGAACTGTATTCACTGAGTTGGAGAAGCATTTTCAACTCTTTGCCCAAGAAGAGTTTTACTCTTTTACCTTATTAGTAGTTAAATGACTGATCTTAAAAGCCCAAAAGACAAAATTTTACTCTGCTGATCCTTTCAGAGCTGTAGTGAACTGAAAACATTTCCTACTCTTGTGCTGTGGCACTGTAGGGAATAAAGGACAAATTGGCTTCAATTTACTACTCTGTCACCTTTCATAACCTTTATATTAAGCTAATGTTTTTCATTTCATTTGATGTTTGATTTAGTTCCTGAGAACAGGAGGCAGGATTAAACAACACCAAGTATGGGATTCCAGGCATCTGTACCAGCTATTCTCTGCAATTTATTATAATTAATCTCTATTATTACTGAAATCTCTTTTAAATTTAATTCTTTAAAGTTCACCTCTTAGATATCGCCTGTACTAGAGGAGTTGCATACTCAATCAAAATATCTCCAAATAGAACAGCTAGAGGATGGCTGTACAAACAATAAAATAACAAGAACATTTTTTCTTTTTCTTTTTCTTTTTTTTCTTTTTTTTTTTGCTTAGGAATAGAAGCAGCCGTCTGTGAAGTTTCAGTGACAAACAGGAATTGTTCTGATACAATGGCATGCTTTGAGCCAAACCAGTTTTTCTTTCCTAAATAAAACATGGATTTTTATTCAAATAAATCTAATTATTATAAAATGCAAAACTGCATCTGTAGGAATACCACATCAAATTTAATTATATTTTCCCACCTCAAAACATATTCATTTGGATTTCAAAAGGAGTACTAGGATGATAGTTTTAATTTCAGCTTTAGAAATAGAAAGAATGGATACCCTGACAGCATTTACCTAGAATGAACTGTTCCTTCTCAACATCTTTCAGTAATACACTAATTTAGATTGTTACAACAAGCAACTGAGATGCCTTGTACTCCCCACAGCAATTTTGAGATTAATTACATTAGTGCTGCACTGATTATCGTGAGACAGTCATGCTATTCAGTGAAATACTTTTAAGTAAAATTAGTTTAAAGCTATAGAACCCCCATAGGTTTCCACTGGGGGAAACAGTGGGCAATTTTCCTGACATGATGTTAAATACCCCAAATTATGTGTGATGAACAGTCAGGAAGTTCAGATAGGCCCTTTGGCTGCAGTGAAAAATGATGCAACAGTGGATGATCCTAAACAAAAGAGCCATAGCTTTAAGTTTCATGAGTATCTGTTTATTATCCCATGTTCAATCTGGAGAATAAATAAACAAACATATTGGAAAGAAATGGATCTATTCAGATAAAGAACTGAACTTGCCTGTGAATGGAAATCTAAGAAGTTCCCAAGATCCTCAGAATTAATGTACTTTCCAGTAGTTAGGCAATACTGCTGAGATCTTTTTATTGTATTTATTTTAACTTTTCATCTTAGCTTACCATATTGCTGAATGAGATTTTGTGTTTGACTATGTATTCATACTATGACGGGGTCCTTCCAGTTAAATTGATACTGCTTTCTTCTCACATGCTTCATCAAAAATGAATCACTAGTTATGTGTCTCATGTGCCTACAGTATTTATCCATCTAAAGAGTACTGGGGTCTTCAAATCCACTCCAGACTTTGAGCATGCATTTCCTTTATGAATGGTTGCAGCTGAATGTTTGAATGCTTGGACAAACTCACCTTCTGTTACTTACTCATGTTCACAAACACTTAAAATGCTAAATGAGAGTGCATGAAACAATACATAGAAATAAAATCACCAGGCACAACAAAAAGGCAAATCTAATGGTTCCAAATTTAATGCTCCATCAAATTAAATAGAATCATTCCCTGATTGAGGTATGGTTAGTCACAGGAGATGAAGTCTACAAGTGAGATGAAGGATATGGCAAGTAAAGCAAACAGTTAACGTTAATTCTGCTGAAGGTGAATCCTGGCATCAGTGAGGTTTTGTTTGTTTGTTTGTTTGTTTGTTTTTTAACTGAGCCAAGCAAACAGAGTCATACACTCTTGCAAACTCTTTGGGCTTGAATTATGAAGGGCACAGTTTACAGGTAACCTCAAGTCAGATTTTGTGATATTATTTGTGAAATGTGCTGATCTCAGCAGCATGGTAATACTGCTTCCAGTTTGAATAGGTTACTTATCTGACTCTTTTCCTCTTAAAATAATGCCTCATGTTTGTTATACTGCAGTACAAGTGAACCTACCTACATACTGACTAAAATTCCCAGGTTATTAAAACATAATTTGTGGCAACATGGATCAGTTTGCAGCTTTATGTTTTAACAGTTTTATTTTTGTCTGAAGACAGAAATATCTGAACTGCTAGAGAAGAGCTGCTGCTGGAAGCTGGTGAGGCTGCTTGTTTTCCTCTTGTAACTGATTGGGATATTCAGTTTTTGTCCAACAGAGGATGGATACACCTTACTGGAATTCCAGGCAGATACTTTGTAATTCTTCAGTACAATAACTTTAGTAATCTGGCAGTGAAGAGGGAATTCTTGTGAGGCTTTCTTTGGGCTGGGCAAGGGGTTCCCTTTTGGTTCTTAAGAGAAAAAGCAAAGTTATCTAGCACAAATGATATGTGTGCATGCAGTTTCTCTGGGATAGCCATAAACTTTATTTATTGACATTAAATAGTCTCAGCTTCTTGGGGATGCATCTTTCCATCATAATTTTTAAGAAATTATTGAAGATTAAATGAAGCAATTTATTGGTTTTAATTGTAATTGGAAGGCAGAGAGAGAGTACTAGGTCAGATTTCTGCTGACAAAGGATGTAAAGATGAAATTGCAACTCTAAATAATTATTTTGTATTTACTCATTTTTAGTTTAATAAATATACATAAATATAGATATACAGCTAAAAGTCTCTGGATTACATAAAATGTCATTAAGTCCAAATATACCTTTTGAACATTTACCTGCAGAGAAATTTCCTTTCTCTTGCTTGTGTAACATGGCTTGTTCAGCTAAGGAAAATATCCAAGGAAAATTGAGTAGTTCCTTTGACTTTATATGTCAACAAATATTTCACATTTTATAAGCTCATGGGAAAAAGTGTTATTCAGAATGAAGGATTCTTCTTTTATTTTTTTATTTTATTTTTTTTTTTAAATTTATTTTTATTTTTTTTTATCTTATCCATATCTGAACAATGGATGTTAAAGCTCTGCAGCTGCTCTCAGTTTCAGCTGCACTGCGT